TAGTGTAGTATAATAATCGAGTCTAGGGGTTAGGTGCAACTTTCCAGTTTTGCCCATCTATCTCCAAGGTCCAGGGCAATACTGAAAATCTGGTCCGGTTCAAAGGTTCTATTAATCCTACACTGCATGTGCTTCGGGTCTCACCTTGGTAACTGAGATAAGCCACCCCAACAGTTGGCAGCACACCAGTGTCAGCCTTGGCAGGATAAATCTCCCCAGACTTACCCAATGGCTGTGAACATTCTAAACTAACACAAGTCTCATTAAGTGTCCAGTTTAAGGGTATTACACAGAAACACACCACGGGAACATGAATCAAATGTGTACTTTATTCATTTACAATAAATTCATAATGTACATATTTCTGATTGAAGCTAATGGAATACAACTGTCTAACATGTATTTGGTTGCAATGCAAATAAATTTGCACTGATGCGAAACTATGAGTGCAAATGATTTGAGTGTAAATTATGACCTAATTTTGTTTCAAATTTTAGCTTATTTTGTTTGATTGCAATACAAATGAAGTAAATTAAGACATAAAGCAGAATAAAGTAAAATCCAAAACAAAATTAAACAAAAATTTGCATTTTTTACATTCTCACTCCCATGCATTTATACTAGTGCAAATAAATTTGCACTGCAACAAAACACAACCTAAATCTCAATTACCCAATAATGGATCAAAACAATCCAATGATTCAATTATTTGAATGGATCATTGTTTACCAATTAAACAATATTTGATTGATGATCTCATTCTCGTCAAAATGTTACTTAGATGGCAGTGGTAAAACTAGAAAAATATAGGAGTAAAAATGAAATTGTAAAGGAATTATTTATAGGTGATAAAATGAGAAAAAATAAATATAGTGGTAGTTTAGTCACGTGTACAGGGGAATTCGGATTGGCTGAACGCCATGATTGTGTAACAGGCTGTGGAATCAATGAAAATGCCCCCCCACAAGTCATAGGGCCAACTAAGAGATTGAAAAGTTGTAGGTCATATGCATTTTATGACTAGTTGGGGCCTTATCATTGCATTCAGCTAATCCTATCTATTATGGGAGATCGGAGTCAAGTATATTGGTGGGTGGTCCTTGCCCCCCCTCCTCCCCTAAAAAAAAACTCTAAGGTTCATCCAACTCCCAAAGAAAAAACTCCAAGCCCCTTGCAAGTAAAAAACTTCGTACACAACTTCCAATTGCATATTAAAATTATTGTCCATAAATGTATGTTAAATTCATAGGGAAATGTTCCTATATGCAATTAGATGCCTTGAGATTCCATTGCAAATTTGGACAAGGCTTAGATGATGATGAGAAATCAAATCCAATATCATGACCAGGTCACTTGGTCATATGTCTAGGTAGGAACAATGATGGGTAGAAAATATTGTGGTAGGTTTGTGTTAGACATAGACTTGTTCATGAGCTAGGTAGCTCAACGAGTTGGCTTGGCCCGACCCATTCTATGTTGGGCTTGGACAAAGCTTTAAGCCTGCGGGCTCGGGCTTTGTCTTTCCCAAATAACATCAGCCAAATAATATTGTATATATAATAAAAAATATAATATATATTATATTATATATATAACTAATAACTAATAAGTACGGGAGAAGTTCCCAATGCATGGTAGGATGTGCCTGTGAGGCGCCAAGTGTGAGGAGTAGTTCCGGTCTCAGGTATTGAAGTGGAAAAACAGACATGTGATTGAAGTTTCTAGAGGCTTGTTATTCTAGATGCATGTTCCAACTCGGTTTTGGGGGGATACTACTTAAATAGTTGTAAATCTTATTAACAAACTTCCCTCGCGGACCTTACATCTCTAGTCTCCTCATCAACTTCTTTTTCTTGATGAGGATACATTCAAGGTTTTTGGGTGTGTTTGTTTCTTCCATGACATGCGTCCTTCTAGGCTGAAATTTGATCCAAAGTCTATCAAGTGTGTCTTCTTGGTATATTCTTCTGCCCAAAAAGGGTATTGTTGTTATGATCGTTGTTCTGAAAAAAGATATGTGTCCAAAGATGTCACATTCTTCAAGTCTACTCCCTTTTTCTTTGTCTCTTGTCCTTTTCTTAAGGGGGAGGATGTTAGTGAAGATCGAACTCCCTTTTGTATGCCGATTCCTATAATTAATGCTGCCAATCATTCTTTTCCTCCTCTCTGTGGTCATAGTAGTCCTCCCGTTCCTCCTCTTATTCCTCGGTCTTGGCATCAATGGTTCGTCAGACGAAGAAAGTGGATGACTCCTGAGATTGAATGTCCATTACAATTTGACCTCCCGAACTCAAGTAATTTAAATTTTGAACCTCTTCTTGTTTCCGATGCTTGTGTTGAATCTACTATTGAGCCTCCTCTTGTAGATTATGACCTCAACCTTCCTATTGCAATTCGTAAAGCAAGATGGACATGTGCTAAGTATCTTATCTCAAATTATGTCTCTTATGATACTTTGTTACTCTCTTATTGTGCCTATATCTCTTCTATTGATTTTGCTTTTATCCCTCACAATGTTATTGATGCAGTGCAGTTCTCTCATTGGAAGGATGCTATGAATCAAGAAATTGAGGCACTAAAAAAAACTGATATGGGAAATTGTTTCTCTTTCAGAAGGCAAAATTCTTGTTGGATGCAAGTGGGTTTACACAATGAAGCATAAAGTTGAAGGCTCAATTGAAAGGTACAAAGCTCAACTTGTAGCAAAATGATACACCCTGTCTTATGGAATTGATTACCAGGAAATATTTGCCCCAGTAGCGAAGATGAATTCAATCCAAGTTATCATGTCTCTTGTTGCCCACTATTCTTGGCCCTTGTATCAAATTGATGTTAAGAATGCATTCCTTAATGGAGACTTTCAGGAAAAAGTTTACATGGAACTTCTTCCAGGAGTGAACATCCTTGGGAGTGAAGAAAATGTTTGTCATTTGAAGAAATCCCTTTATGGCCTTAAACAGTCCCATCGAGCTTGGTTTGACAGGTTCAGGAAATTGTCTTAAAAGTTGATTTCTCACAGCCACAAGCTGTTGTTTATTAGGAGAGCAAATGGAAAAACAACTATGTTGATAGTATATGTCGATGATATTGTTATCACAGGGGATGATATCTTTGGGATTGCTGAACTGAAGTCTTTCCTTGCTACTGAATTTGAAATTAAGGATCTCAGAAATCTCTGGTATTTCCTAGGGATTGAGGTAGCAAGGTCAAAGAAGGGCATTTATATTTCTCAGAGGAAATATGTCATCGATTTGCTTCGGGAGGTAGGAAAATTGGATTGTAAACCGATTGAAACTCCGATTGATCCCAATCATAAGCTGGGAGTTAATGATGGAGATGTTCTTCCTAACAAAGGTATGTATCAAAAACTTATTGGTCGCCTTATTTATTCGTGTTTGACTAGACTAGATATATCATATGCTGTGAGTGTGGTCAACCAATACATGCACAAGTCTAGATCCTTTCATATGCAAGCAGTGGATAGAATACTTGCCTATTTGAAGGGATGTCCAAGAAAGCGGATATTGTATCCTAATCATGGGCATCTGAAGGTAAATGCCTATTATGATGCTAGTTGGGCAAGTTCTATTGATGATAGGCGGTCTACTTCTGGCTATTGTATTTTGGTGGGTGGTAATGTTGTATATTGGAGAAGTAAGAAGCAATTGGTTGTGGCTCGATCTAGTGCAGAGGCAAAGTACAAAGGTATGACACATGGAGTATTAGAATTGTTGTGGTTGAAGAACTTGTTGATAGAAATGAGAATAAAAATTGATACTCGAATGATATTATATTGTGACAACCAAGTTGCCATAAACATTGCCCACAACCCTATTCAACATGATCATACAAAGCATATAGAGGTTGGTCGACATTTCATTAGAGAAAGAGTTGCCAGTGGAGAGATTTGTCTACCTTATGTGAGGTATGAAGATCAATTGGCTGATCGTCTTACTAAAGATGTTCCCAAATCAAAGCTCATTAACAATTTGAACAAAGCTAGGCATGATAAATATCTATGCTCAGCTTGAGGGGGAGTGTTAAAAAGTGTGAGAGCATTTTTGTCCTTTTGTGTCTTTTTTTTGTATTTGAACGCCTATCAAGCGTACATTTGTAATTTTGCTTATGAAGAAGAAATGAAAAGTCTCTTGATATGAACAATGCCACACCAAGCATTCTCGACACTTTCTTCTTCTTCTTCTTCTTTTTCTTTTTTTTTCTCCTTCTCCTCCTTCTTCTCTCTTCAACATCTCTAAACTTTACAATTGAAAGGAAGCTCACTATCTACATCCCAGTTAGAGGTAGTTTGATAACTATTGAAGTTGTTGAACTAAATGATTTATTAGTAATAACCTTTTCAGTTCAGCCAGTTAAGCTATTATATAACGGTCTTCACCTTATGACATCATGATTAGGGGTGTTTATTATATGGTTCCAATCGTCAAACCAAATTGAACCAAACTATAATTTGCAGTTCAAATTGGTCTAAACTTGAAATGGTTTGGTTTGGTTTCTTGAATTTTAGAAACCAAATCAAACTATAAATCATAAACTGAAACATATATACATATATTAACATATATAATATATATTATATCAATATTATAATAAATGACAAAATAAATTCTGAAAGCACTCTCTCATTCTAACTAAACTAGCATACCAATTACAATAATTCAATGATTTTATGGTATTTAAAAGATAACATTGTTATGTATGCAAGTATATATATGTTATTTGAGTTTTCTAACTTGGTTAAAAACTTAAAATCAATAAAACGGTTTGACTTTACCGATTTGGTCTGAAATTATTCTCAACCGCACCAAACCGAACCGTTGCGAGTCCGTGAGCCATGAAAATAAACCACACGTGAGGCCGTAACAACCACAAAACGGTGAACATAAGCCACACGTGATCCCATGACAATAATACCCTCGTAGATCCACTAAATTACCATTCTCAAAGACTTAAACAAGTTTATGGAATGGTATTTTAGTCAAATAACAAAATTACGTGGTAACGCCAAGTAAGCAGGTACACGTGCGAAGTGGCGATGGGATTGGGAACAATACAAAACTGAGAAAATCGATACGGTGAAGAGAGAGAGAGAGAGATAAAGCGTAGATTTTGACTTGCGACGATCTGAACTGTGATTGAACTCCGGGCCACGGTATAAATGGTGGGGATGTTCCACACTTCACTTCCATGTGAGCTCTTCCTTTTTCTTCTGTCTCCTACCTGTATCTCTCTCTCTCTCTCTCTTTCATTTCCTTCTCTGCGAGAGTCAAAAGAGTGGAGACCAGAGCTTGAAACGAAATTCTATAGATGACCTTACGTTTCCTCTCGACCCAAGTAAGCAGCAAGCGAGATCGAAGCTCTATTCCACTCTCTGCAACTCCAATGGCGGATCTTCGTTCACAAAAAAAGTTCGTTTTTACTGCTCGCTTTTCCTTTTTAACTCGTTGTTGACTGCCATAAACAGTGGCAGCTGCAAATCATTACTTATACCCCTGTGTCGGAATAAAGTTAGGGTTTCTGAAGTGGGTTTTGTGCTTGTATGCCTTCTTGTTAGAGTTGATTTGATGATGGGAAGAGGAAATATCAATATCTAGGGTTTCTGATTCAGGAGGCGAGCTGGTATTGGTAGATTCGGATGATAGGTTCGGGGGAGTTATTGGAAGGTTTTCGATTTTGGATGATCGGGAGGGACTGGATGAGGGAGTGGGGAGTGGAATGTGCTGAGAAATGAGGTTTGTGGTGTATGAGAAATGGGGTGTGTACTTGGTAGAGAGGTTTCGTCTCCCCCGGCTTCTGAGGTAAAGGAGAAGGGGAGGGGGAAGGAGAAGGAAAGGAATCTCTCTGTCTCGTCGGGGAGGAAGTCACAGGCGGTGGTGACTAAGAACGAGAGTGCTGAGGTTCAGAATGTGGGAGACCAGAAAGAGGAGAAGCAGGATGGGGGTCAACGCCCAAGAGGTGAGAGGAGAAGATGCAGGCCGAATCCGAGGCTGAGTAACCCACCCAATCATGTGCAGGGAGAGCAGATCGCTGCTGGATGGCCATCTTGGCTCTCCGCCGTTGCCGGTGAGGCGATCAAGGGATGGACTCCTAGGCGGGCAGACACTTTTGAAAAGCTGGACAAGGTATGTTCTTTGCTTCCTGCACTCAGTAAGTTTCTTTATTCGGTTGTGTCTATGAATGCAAGCTCTGATTCCCCTTTTCTTAGATTGGTCAAGGAACTTATAGCAATGTATACAAGGCTAGAGATACTTTGACGGGGAAAATTGTTGCTCTGAAGAAAGTCCGGTTTGATAACTTGGAGCCAGAAAGTGTAAAATTCATGGCAAGAGAGATTCTCATCTTGCGTCGGTTGGATCATCCCAATGTTGTAAAGTTGCAGGGTTTGGTAACTTCAAGGATGTCATGTAGCTTGTACCTTGTATTTGAATACATGGAGCATGATTTGGCCGGACTCGCTGCAAGCCCTGACATTAAATTTACAGAACCCCAGGTTAAAGCCCACCCTTCTGCTTTATTATTTGTTGGCGGTTAATAACGATATTTTTTTGGGAAGTACCTTTTTTTTTTCCCTTGGCTCTTGCTTATTCTGTGTACCTGGATACGGCAGGTGAAATGCTATATGCATCAACTATTGTCAGGACTTGAGCACTGTCACAACCGAGGTGTATTGCACCGTGACATAAAGGGGTCTAATCTCCTTCTAGATAATGGAGGAGTACTCAAGATCGCTGATTTTGGGTTAGCTTCCTTCTTCGATCCCAACCACAAGCAGCCCATGACCAGTCGCGTGGTCACTCTATGGTATCGGCCCCCAGAGCTTCTTCTAGGAGCTACTGACTATGGCGTAGGCGTGGACATCTGGAGTGCAGGCTGCATTCTAGCTGAGTTATTGGCCGGGAAGCCTATCTTGCCTGGGCGCACAGAGGTGACAAAAATACTGTTCTTATTCTGTTAACTTTTATTATTGAGAACTGTCTAAGCATGTTTTATGTTCCTATGCCCAAAATTTCTTCACATGCTCCTCTTTCCAATCAAATAGGGAAAAGGTTGCAGATTTCATGTTTGGGCCTTTTTTATTTCATGCTATTGGATTCTGTTCTTTGCTGCATCTTATCTATTCTGTTGCCACCATTTTTGCCTATTTGTGAATGTATCAATTGACACAGTATCTGTGGAGTTTTGACAGCAGAATTATAATATGGCAGCTGTGTAGTTTTGAATCTTTTGATGGCAAAATTAAATGGTATAGATGAAAAGTTTGCTTTTAAGCAAGATGCAAGCTTGAGCTAGTTTTAACAATCTAATTCTAGGAATATGCCTTTAATACTGAGAATATTATATATAACATTCCAGGAATATTATATTTTTTCTCCTAATTCGAATTAAAACTCTTCTTGAACATGATATAAAAGAAAATTTGGCTTTCCAGACCATTTTAACAGAGAGATATATGCCTTTAATACTGAGAATACTATATACTTTCTTCCTGATGTAAACCGATGGATAGGGCATGCACGGTCCAACTCCGAAAGCATTAGGAAATGGTAATCACCGAGAGAAACAGGGGAAGAAGGGAGAGAACTGGCCGGGCTCTCAGAGGAGCTGCCTACATACCTATTGGTGAGGGATTATGTCATTGTAGTTCGTTGGTGATGGAATTCCAGCAAGGAATAGCAGAGAGCAATATGGTGATGATTGTAGAGGGAGCAAAGCTGGAGCTAGGCGGAAAAGGCCGTGATTTGAATGGAATCAGAGAGAATGGGAGAAGAAGGGAAAAAGAGAGTGAATCTGAATTGTTTTGGTGTGCCTAGGTTATGGGAAGTTCTTCCACCGATTTTGTCTTTTGTGACTAGTCTAGAATCTTTTGTTGCTTCAAGTTAATCTGAATTGTTTTAAGTATTTTTTCTTGTTCAGCAACAAGAATAAAGTTTTAAGTATGAAAGCTTGTTTGATCTAAAATGGTCTAGTTTGACCCAAGTTTGCTTCGGGTCAGCTGGGTTTATGCACTTATATAAATCTATTGTCTCACACCTGATTTGAATGAAAGTGCTTGTTGAATATGAGAGTAAGGTGCAAGTTTACAGAATTTTGGGTGTAATGTGACGTTTTCTTGTGTCAAGTGGAAAATGTTCCTTTTGTTGCTTTCTATGCAAGTTATGGAATATTGAGAGCTTTTTTTCTTCTTTTCTAATAAGGTAAGTATACTTCTATTCATGAATGCCAAAATTATAGAAAGTATAGAGCCCATGTACATTAAGGCTGTGTACAATAGGATTTACAATCAGAATCTGTATCTTATGTATGATAACCTATAAGCAAGTTTTAGAAATCACAAAAAATAGGTGTATGTGATTCCTTTGGATTCTTTGTGAATTGATAGCTACAATAATGAGAGAGACTTGCAAGGTAGAAGATGAAAGGGTGGAGGAAGAAGCTTTACGTGGCACAAAAGGATCGGTGATTTCAAATTTTGCAAACACTTGCACTAAAATGGATAAGAAAACTCTGGAAAACATACAGGTGGGGGTAGGTGGGATGTCAAAAACATGGAGAACAAGGCATCAATAATGGAGGGTAGTAGATCTGTGGGGGTTGGATCTTGGCTAAAATTATGTGGCAGGATCTGAGAGGCCAGTTGAGACCAGGGTTGAAGATGGGTGGCTCGACATGGTCCGTTTGCAACAGGGCTGGCAACCCTGAGGGCAGAACTGGGTTTGACCTGGTTTTTACCCTAGGAGAGACCTTTCAGGATGAGATTACTCTTACTCTAGTTAATGTTTGTCTTGCCCGTAATTCTCCTCAACTACCACCTTGATGCCTTAAATGACCTCTTGAGGGGTATTTATAATTGCTCTAGTGTTTCCTCCCCATTTGTCCTTTTGTACACAGTGGAGGGGAGGGTTGGTAAATGTTCTCATTACACCTACCCCCTACCTAGGGTCCTTTTGCATAGATAGTCCTTTTCCAAGTTATCTCCCTTAATCTTTTACGCCACCTTGGTTTATCCATTAATGGGCTTCGTCCTGGTGTAGTCATAACGGGTTATAAATGCCTATCACCAACTCCGTGCTAGTCATTAAATGCGGATCAATGTGGCATGACTGCAAGTTTCCTCGTTTTGCCAAACCTTACCTGGTTCATCACGCATCGGGGTTTCATGCACGAATGGACTTGTAAGTAGACAATGGTCCGCTCCTTGGCCTCTTTGCCCGGTTCGTGTGCTGAGTGGGACTGCTCGCATTCCATTAATGTGTTGTCATTCAGTTAGACCCGAGCTTCTCTCATTGTCCCATCGTTTGTCACGTGTTATGCTGCTTGCCCTTGGATGGCTAGTCTCGATTTAGTTACAACATTAGCCCCCTAACAGCCAGACCACCTCAAGGACCCAGGGTGGTGTGGTTGTCACTTCGCCTTCGCTTTAGGTCTCCACAACTGGATAGGGTTCTATTATCCAAGAACTCGGATACATAACCTCATTCGAACCTTTACGCTATGTCTTTGTAGGAGCAAATGGTTCGTACTTGCACTTGAGTTAACTGTTTCAAGGGTGGTTTGCCTTTCTGAATTGACAATCTCAAGGGTGGTTAGCCCATGCCCGAATTGACCATATGCAGGTGGTTATCTCGTGCCCAAATTGACCATCCATGGGTGGTTAGCCCGAATTGGTGTTAGACGAACAATTGTGTCTTTCCCAGGCACCCTTCGTAGGCATCGATTGTATTAATGGTGCCCCTTGCCTTCCCGCACTTCATTCGTTATAAATGGGGGGTTAAGGCGAACTGGGGTAAGTGCCATTAGACAAATGTCGTTGCTTCTTTCTTCACGATGTTAAGTCTCATGTTGCTCGTGTTCTTCTTCGTGGCCTCAAGTTCTTTGAGCCGTCGCCGGTTGCGTCAAGACTAACCACCCGCAAGTGGTCAATTTAGGCATGGGCTAACCACCCACAAATAGTCAATTCGGGCATGGGCTAACCACCCTTGAGATGGTCAACTCAGGCACAAGCTAACCACTCTTGAAATGGTTAGCTTAGGTGCGGGTATGGACTAATCGCTCCTAGGAAGGGTTTGAATGAGGTCACATATCCAAGCTCTTGGAGATAGGACCCTATCCAAGTGCTATTGGAGATCTAATGAAGTGAAGGCGAAGTGACTAAATTGAGACTAGCCATTCAAGGGCAGGCAACGTAACACATGGTAGATGATGGGACAACGAGAGAGGCTCGAGTCTGACTAACTGGCAACACATTAATGGCATGCGAGTAGTCCCACTCGACACACGAATCGGGTGAAGAGGCCAAGGAGCAAACTGTTGCCTGCTTGCAAGTCCATTCGTGCAGGATACCTCAATGTGTGATGAACCGGGTAAGGTTTGGTAGGATGGGGTGACTTGCGATCATGCCATGTTGATCCGCATTTAATGATTGGCGTGGAGTTGGTAGTGTGCATTTATGACCCGATATGACTACACCAAGACAAGGCCCATTAATGGCTAAACCGAAGTGGCGTGAAAGATTAAGGGAGATAATTTGGGAAAGGACTATGTATGCGAAGGGACCCTAGGTAAGGGGTAGGTGTAATGAGAACACTTAATTGAGCCTTTTAGCTTGTGAAGGGACTTATACAGTGAGTTTAGGCAGTGTTGATTTGCAAACAAACCTCAATATCATGGATGAAGTTATTTTCAATATAGAAATCTTGTTTGTAGGAGAAGAAAAGACTAATGCCATACAAGCTTCTGAAGCCGAGGTAGGGTAGAGGGTTAAATGGATTTGATTGAAACAGATCAAGGTGAGTTTGCTTAGAATTGGTTTAGTTGGTTCTAATAAAGTTGGGACGGTCGGTGTGATCCTAATAGGTGTTGGTGAGTATGAAGTCTTTTGCTTGAAAGGGTTTAGATTAATGGGAGGTTGCAACTCTGTTGTAACTAACGTTTGCTTGGAGGGAATTGCAGGGGTTCAAAGGACCTAAGTATGTTGTTATGTTGAGTGAATGTTATGGTAAGTAGGGCTGAAATGGGAGAAATTGCTGGATGATTTGTATCAAAAGAAAAAAGATGAGGTTTGAACAAGGAAAGATGAGGTCATTCTTCTTCTTCTTGTTCTTTTACCTAATTAATTCATTCATTTTGCTTTTGTTCATTTCTACATTGATTCATTGATTATCATTCTTGCATTCATGCATGCATTTGGTAAGGGGCCTGCTGAACGAAGGCCCCCCTGGTAAGCTCAAGCTCTAACAAGAGATCCTCTGAACAGCTGGATTATTGATTCAGCTATCTCTTGCTTCCAAAGATGGAAGGGAAGGCCTACCACTCGAACCAGTACTCCATCTTGAACATAGAAGTCTTTTGAGTTGGATGATGGGTTCCATTTTTCAATTGTAACTGCCCCAAAATCACGTTGAAAACTAATTGCTGATTACTCCAAGCTGTGTTCAACCAAGTCTAAGACAGCTTTACAACTTTCAAAGGGAGTTAAAATGAACAATCCTCTTAACTTCAGGTGTCGTATCAATAGCTTTTGTAATCCTCGTCCAATCAACATTCTAACTATCACCTGGACAACGTATTTGTTCTCCTGTTCTTCCTTTCTCATATGAACTATCAGCCTACCCTGTCCATCGCTTTTTACCATGGCCACGAACTATTGGTTTGCATACTCATCTTTCTCTTCTTTTCTGATACTCTCTTCTTTCTCTCTTAGAACTACAGCGGCCTGATCCCTTGCCAGAGGGTATGTAGGCAGCCCCTCCGGGGGCCTGGCCACTTTCTCTTCCTCCTCTTCTCTTCTTTCACCTTTTCCAGTTCAACTGCCTAGTCAATCCCTCAGACTTAGGAGTACACACCATCATCTGTCCACTGCCTGACCGCCTTACACCTCTTATTTCAACTACTTAAACCCCAAAACCTATTAAATCTGAATAGAAAGTTAGAAACAACTAAACACAAGAACCACCTAGAACCTAATCCAACCTCATTCAAAAAGACCTCTCTTGTGTTCTTATTTCTTCTTTTATTGCTTTCTTTCTTTCCTTCCTTTGTTTGTTCGTTCATTCTTCTTGTTATTTATTGATTCATTCATTTTTACATTGATTCTATCATGAATTCCTTCATTCAATCATATGCATTTATCCATTCCTTCGTGCATTTATGCATTTGCATTGAAGCATTGATTGATGATGCGTTCACTATTCATGCATTCTTTCTCACATTAATGCATGCATATGAATACATGTGTGAAAGCATGAATGATTATGAATGAATTAATTATGCACCTGTTAGATTTTAAATGTTGAAGGGTATATTATAGATGCTAACCATAGTTGTCAAGGCGACGCCTAGGCGACAAGGTGCCCTTTGAGGCTCACCTCGCCTAATCGCCTAACAGTTTTCTACTTCCTACTATAAAATACTTTTTTATTCATTCTTTTTTGAGGTTATAATTATAAAATAAATATTATTAAACTAAAATAATCATTTTGTGTGTTTATATACTAATTTCTTTT